AGTCAAATTGGTGCTGTGATTGAATCGCAATATGACATTCAAATTTTAATCAGTGTTGGGCCAACCGATGTAAAACTTGGATCGCAAGGAATATTGTATTGGCAGTGGTTTGTGCAATATATTATTGGGTGTCAAATGTGTCACACAGAAATACCCGATCCTTTTTCGGATGTGGGGTTGTATCAGTATCTAATGCTCCGACACCATATTGCAGTGTAATTCCATCGCACCTAATCCTACTGACACTGCATTGCATATCTCGGGGTGATAGAACATCGGATAGGCCCATCTGATACAAATATCTTGGCAGTGCTGCCTGTATGAGTGAGTCGAAGTGACGGCTCCTGGGGAAAGAGTTTATCCAAGACAGTCGTGTATGCGACTCCTGCTGTACATGCAGAGTCGCTAACCGCGACTCGAGTCAGTCGGGCCTCCCTGGTCTGGTGCATGAAAACATGTCATGTGAGTGTGACATGACCCAGGGCGCGGGAATTTTTTCTGTTTTTTACAGGACCGCGCATCCTGTATACACCCCATGACCCCGATTTGCCCGGCGTGTCTGTACAGACTCGGTTTCGGGTCACGTCCCCCTCCACGGGGTTCCGTGCTCGGGCCTCGCTCAAGAGGCAATCGGGGCCATTCCTGACTTTTCAATGACTAGTTTGTGAGATTGGGGTTCACCCAGAGACCTCAAAGTCGCGGTCTTTTGCTCGTGACTTTGCTTTATCCTTCAGGCTCGATACAATAATATCGGCGCTGTCAAGATGGCCGCCCTGTTTCAACAAGCTATCAACGTCACCTCGGTCCTCCTCGCCACCGCTGCCTCCACTTCAACTTCCCTTCTGTCCAAGCACCAAGTTGGTAACGCAAGCACGACGGGAAGCGACCTTTATGCCGGCGTCGATCTCTCTAGCTTGAACTACCCTGAGCAACTCTGGGTCAAATGGTATTTGTGGTTCGGAAACCCAGTCATCGCGACGGGCGTAATGAGTTTCCTACTTCATGAAGTAAGCTGGTGTCACTTCCACTCCGCCCCATCTAGGGATGTGGCGTTGGCACATGGGCCAAGGCTCTTTGGATTAGCTACTTACTCCGGTCTCACTCTACCTCTTGGATGACCGTTGGAACTAGATATTCTACTTTGGACGTTGCATCCCCTGGATGATCATTGGCCAAATCCGGGCCTTTGACAAATACAAGCTGCAACAGGCGAAAGTGACAACTGCAGCCGATCAATGGAAGTGCACTAAATACGTACTTTCAACTCACTTTACCGTTCAACTCCCTCAAGTGAGTGTTTGTTCCCTCGAAGGCTTCACCCGGAAACGCTCAAGTCATGGTTGGCTCAGGCGTTCATTCTGTACGTTGACTCCCCTCATCTTTCCTACTCATGCATTTTACAGATATGGTCTTTCCATCCGATCGCCGAATACTTCGGCATGGCTACGCACACGGTCCCGTTCCCAAGCTGGACAACGATGGCTTATCAAATTGCAATCTTCTTTGTCTTTGAAGAGTTGCGCATTCTCCCCTCCTTATTCTTTTCATTGTCCCAAGTTGCGTTGTAGAGCTCATTCTGTCCGATCCGAACCTTTTGGTCTACCGTCTGTAGTTGTTTTCACTACTGGGCACACCGAGCTTTACACCAGGGTCAATTGTATAAGAAGATTCACAAGCTACATCACGAATTCTCGGCTCCTTTCGGTCTCGCCGCCGAATATGCTCATCCGCTTGAAATTTTAATCCTCGGGATGGGAACCATTGCTGGACCGTTGTTGTGGTGCCTATTCACCAAAGGAAACCTACACGTAATGACCATGTATATATGGATCATCCTCCGATTGTTCCGTGAGTTGTCACTTTGTGTCCTGTGTCCACTGTAGCTTTGATTTGTCGAAGGGAAATATGAGGCTGATTTCGCTTCTGAAAAATTGGGTATTCGATCATCCAGAGGCCGTCGATGCTCATTCCGGTTACGACTTCCCTTGGTCCTTGCGTCATATCGTGCCCTTCTGGTCCGGTGCTGACCATCATGACTATCATCACGAGAAGTTTGTGGGATGTTATTCTACTAGCTTTCGGTGGATGGATCACCTTTTTGGAACCGATAAAGCCTACAAAGAATACCGAAAGAAGCAAGAGTTGCAGAAAAACAAAGGATCCAAAGAGCAGTGAACCATTTCTCTGTTGACTTGGATCTTAATGACTTTTTGCTTGGGTCTCTTGTTTGTAAGAGGGGTCTTTCAGAATGTTCTCTTTTTGCTAACCTTTTTCGACAGAATAAGCTCATAATCATACATCATCCCTGCTTAATCAATATTTGTCGGTGGTTGCTTGGTTAATTCTTGGTGGCACATAACTTTCCTGTTAACTATCATTATTTGAAGACCCCATACAACCACGAACATGTCTTATATGTGTAGTTTGTTACTGTTAAGACGTAAACTACCACAACTAGTAACTAGACTCGGATTCGAACTAAGGACCCTTACATGAGCAGAAACATGACTTGTATATGATGCCTTAACAACTAGGCTCTCCAGTCTGTTCTCCAACCCCATACTTTTAACCCCACACCATATGGTTACACATCTGCCAACAACCCAGTATGAGCTGTCTCAACAGTTACCACATGCACAAAAAAACATACAGTTTTGAGACATGCCATGACACCATTGAAGCCTCAACCAATCTTGCACAGTTGGTGCCTAGTAAATCCAAGGTTTGAAAATGTTGGGAAGTGTGGTATCTGGTTTCCCTGGTAAATTATTGGTTCATGTAAGTGAGAGACTGAAAACTAGTGAGGAAGGTGTTGGATCATCCCATTGCATCCATTCCCTCTCAATGCTTTTTCTCCATATAGAGCATTTGTCTGTCATGGACTTCTAGATACACACCTCCTTAATGTATGTAGTCATACAAACTGAAACTGTGACCAATGGTAAACTTGACCAAGTCCCTCCAGCTGCTTCAGAGCCCTCCAAGTGCATCTAAAGCAATTAGCAGGACTTTGTCCATTGGTGTGTTTGTAAGTTAAGTGTGGCTGCACTCCCAAGATATTAGTATCGGATGGGCCTATCCGATGTTCTATCACCCCGAGATATGCGATGCAGTGTCAGTAGGATTAGGTGCGATGGAATTACACTGCAATATGGTGTTGGAGCATTAGATACCAATAGTAATTCCATCGCACCTAATCCTACTGACACTGCATCGCATATCTTGGGGTGATAAAACATCGGATAGGCCCATCCGATACAAATATCTTGGCAGTGAAGCACATTTCTTCATGCACATTAACCCTCTCAGCTATGTACTGTAATCCCATCCAATGATCAGTCAAAGGATGAGAAAAGCCTCCAGAGCTTGGGAAACCTCAATCAAGGTCTTTGGAGGGTACAGATATTTACTACCTGCACATGACCTGCTGCCCATGACTGTGCAAGCACTCACCAAAATTCCTCTCTCCAATTCTCCAAAACCTCCCTGACCCAGTCTATTTATCAACCTTCTTTCCTCCCAAACTCTCTATATCATCACTCTATTGCTACAATTCTTCTCAATCTCTCTCCCCCTACCCTGTAGCTCCCAAAAAAGCCCATGGAAAACCAGGGGCCCTTTGGGAACAATGGAATAGGGAGTGACATACACAGCCCCTCACTGCCAAGATATTTGTATCAGATGGGCCTATCCAATGTTCTATCACCCCGAAATATGCGATGCAGTGTCAGTAGGATTAGGTGCGATGGAATTACACTGCAATATGGTGTCAGAGCATTAGATACTGATAGTAATTCCATCGCACCTAATCCTACTGACACTGCATCGCATATCTTGGGGTGATAGAACATCGGATAGGCCCATCCGATACAAATATCTTGGCAGTGCCTATTTACTGGTCACTGGCAGCCCAGAAACACCCCCTGTTTACTGGTGAATGGCCAGCCAGGGCATGTGGTTGACCTCCATAGTGTCAGGGCTGAGCTACTGTGAGGCTGAGCTCCTGGCTAGAATGAGAGGAAGAAGGACTAGATAAGGCCTTTTACCTTTAACAAAGAACTGGAAATCTACACTGGTGACACCCCCAAGTATAGACTGCAGTCAATTGACCTCTAAGGAGAGGATCTGTTCAAGAACCAACCAAGCTTCTTAGCCTGAGCTGGGTTGTTGGTGTTGCTCTTGATTCAGAGACTGCTGAGGTTACCTGAGGTCCTCAGAGGAAGTGGGATGACTCCTTTCCTCAAAAGAGGGAGAAGAATAGTTTTCTTGGACTACTGCTTTGAGCTTGCCCTGGAGAGTATATCCTATTCAATTACCTTGGGGAGTCTCCAGACATCCAAGGGCAATCCCTGAGGAATGCTAGGATAGATAGCCTATCTGACCCTTAATATTATGAGAGAACATTTATTTACTTTCACTTATTGAACAGTGCACTATTGAGCAGATTTCCTTGGGATAATCCTCAATGTTGTGCTGTTGTTCAGTTTAGGTGTTGGTGTTAAAGGTTAAGGGAAGGGGGCTGAGCCCAGGAGCTGAGGAGGGACTTTATATGTCAGCCCTGAGCACCAAAGTGCCATGTGCTAACAAGGACAAATTACAACTCATACTCAGTTTCAAGAGTATAAACACAATACTGTACTTGACAACTGAGGATTATTATTACAGAAATGGAATCTACATGCAATATTACATATAGTTACATATTACAACTTGGACAGAAGAGCTGTAATTCATACTGTAACATATGTGTAAATATGTTACATTGACTATTACATATGTTACCCATATGTAAACTACATATTATTATTTTAGTAATGAATTCTACACATAAAATAAACTATAGTTACATATTACAGAAAACACTAACAAGACATAAGTGACTCAGTAAATCATGTGTAAATATGTTACAAAGTGCGTACACTTATAATGAGTAAGTAATAAGTGTAATATTATTTTATATTTGGATTCTATGGACCAAAGAACCTATAGTCCCATTTTAGAGTTAAGTGATAACTCTATTAATTAATTAAGTTCATATATAATCAATATATTTCAAAGAAATGTACTGTAGAACTTCAATACAGTGTAGCTAGTGTAGTTTTAAAGTTACAGTTGAAATACTGACAGTTTCATTAATTAAACATGTGATTCTCATCGAAGAACTGTCACCAAATATACTATAACTGTAATATTGACATGTGTACTACAGTACAGTAGATCTTAGACAGATCCGCAGGTAATACAAATGATCTACACACCATTGAATTAGTGACAGATCATAGATCTAATATGTAATTAAACTTTGAGAGTGACAAACAAACATGTGTGAACCTGTCACACACTGTACAGCTGTTTAAACAAGAGTTCACACACGGTACATACATATTTGACATGGGAGATAACTAAATACAAATAATCACAAGGAAGCAAATCTAGCTTGTCAACAAATGTACTACAGATGTGTATTATGTTTGTGGCCTCGAGTAGGAAAAGTTTTATTAATTGACCAAACAAGATAAATTAATATTTCCCACTCAATAACTACTGTAATCACAAAATAATGGAATCAAAAGTACTCTACAATGAGAAAGTTATTAGATTTAATCGAAAACTCAAAATTGTGAGTACCTTCCAGGCCTCAGAACATCTATAAAAGGTCATCCCTCTGCTTGTGGAAAAAGCCCATCATCATTATAACACTTCATAACAGAAATACCTATATACACTAGTATCACTGCCAAGATATTTGTATTGGATGGGCCTATCCGATGTTCTATCACCCCAAGATATGTGATGCAGTGTCAGTAGGATTAGGTG